CACACCCAAGGCAATTAATGAGAATACTTCTGAAATTGAGGATATCTATGACTTATATGGGAGTATCTAGATTAGTTTATAGCTTATCTATTCATTCTATAACCCAGCTTCACCCCTTCGGACCTGCTTTGCAATAAATCTATTTGCAATAATTAGACTTATTAGATTTTTTTAAGTAAAGTTATATATGCAAACTAACTCACTAACTGCACTTACTCATAAGCTAAAAATCATCCATAGCTGCTACCGAAGATCTAGCGATTCTGGCTCATACTTATTAAATAAAGAGTCTTAGTTAATAAAATCGAAATATAAACATGCCCAATATTCAAGATATTGTTAAAGAATAGATAAAAAATAATTATACCCGATATATGTTAACCAAATATGGTTTAAACTATATCAATAATTTAAAAACACCAGAAGCTTGGTTACGATTTGCAAAGTATCGTCTACCCAAATATATACGTGAACGTTTATTAATTCCTGGATATGAAATTAATAGTAAGAATCATTGGGAAAACTTTGTATTCCATATCAAAAATAATTTGATCAGCCATAAGCAAATAGGTAATGATCCTAAATATAGAGATTTTAAAGTTCAACTAGCATACTTCCCAACTTTAACTAAAAAAAATCAATCAGCGACTATGGAAGATGCACAAGATCAGTATTATGACACAATGTCACTTTGGGGGTTTGACTCTTTGAGTCGCCCCTATAGGGCCTGCAAAGTAATGATCCAAAGGGCCTAGAGGCATGGCCTCCTCACTTCATGAGTCAAAATACCAATAAATTTGAAAATTGCCAGCAAAGATCGAGTGATCCTTTCATACTAAATAATTAATGAATGAACAGATCACCAAATCTGAAATTGGTTTTTATAATATATGTGTTGTACCCCGGATAGGAATCGTCCCGATTCGGAATCCGGCCGTCCCAATTCAGAATCGGGGTAGCCGGTTTTGGAATTCTTAAGCGGGTTACCCAGATTGAGAATTAGAACTTAACCAAACACATCATGTGAGATATAATCAGGTCGAATTTCAATTATGTAATATTTACGTATTACCAATAGAATTTTTTAACCATTGATACTTTTACTAGAGTCTTTATTTTATTAATTGAACATTGCTACTCGTATTTATTATGTTATTCAAATCTGTATTGATTAATTTGACATATTCATAAACTCTAAACTAATATATATTCTCATCTAATTCAAGTTCACTAGTAATTGAGCTTTATGTGCCTTTTCAAAGTAACAGTCATAATTCTTTAGTTAGCATTAGTGAAACGTTACAATATTAAAAATGCAGCAGAACATATAAACATAAATTAATTACCCAGTGATTGTACATATTTTCTTCTAATTAATTAAAGTCCTCCGGTTTTGATCTTTGTGGTTTTTAATTAATTAAACTTCATGTTTGAGAAAGTATAGTAGATCATATTGACATAAATTAATTATGCGAATAATCAATTTAAGCTGACCAATCGTACAATTACTGTAAGCTATAAATTTAATAATTAAATAAATATGAAAATATATTAGTTTAAAAATCAAGTGCAGATAAAAAAAAAAAAAAAGATAACTTATCTTCAGATTTTGATTTTGATAACTTAGAAAATTGCATAATTTTTTTTATAATCCTTAATTGTGCATATTTGGGACGATAATTTTATCAATTAAAAATATCAAATACTTTTGATAATTAAGTAATGAAGTACATGTAGAGAAACTTGGAGCCTTTGCAATAGAAAAAGCAATACGTGATAATAATTGTTATAGACCGATTATACATAGCATTTTATGCCAGTATATAATATGGATTTTGCAAATACAAATTTGAAAAAACAAAAAAATTGAATTATCATTTGACCCTTCAGTTTTCAAGCCTTGTGCTTGCATTTCAAACTTTTTGGATAGCACCTACTCCCACATAAAACATTCGCCTTTCTGCAAGAACATCTGGTTGTAAGACAGTCACCCCTGCAATTACATGTTTTATTGCCGGCAATAGCATTGGATTGTAATCTTGCGGCTTCGATTACACTAACAGTCATATTGGTTGGAGAATCATCAAGCTCTGAAAATTCTCTTGGTCCAAGGGATAAAACTTCACCGGCTGAAAATGTACTTTCAAGAACACCAAATTGGCATACAAGGTGATATACATCGTTGGGAAGTACAGAAAACACTTTACATAGTAGTGCACAACGATCACCAGGTCTACGGTCGATCTTAGTGATTTGTACTTTAACAAGATCACCAACTTTATAACTACACTCATGAATGTTGTATTTGGTACGCATTTGATGCTCCATTTTGGAACGATAATCTTCAAGATTTCTATTCGCAGCTTGTCGATAGATATTGTGCTGGTGAATTGGATTATTTGATGAATCTTGAAGAATTTGAAGACGACGTTTTTTGTTTGACGTAAAATTATACGAATTAAGTCCATCATTTTCCTATTAATAAATCAAAATGCTAAAATTAATAAAATGGACTTCACAATGATTACTGTAAAAAAATAATATAATTATAACGACCTTGTCTCTCAGGATTGGTTCTTGATTATCTGTGATATTACTATTACCGTCAAATCGTGTTTGTTGACCATCAAAGATGGATTGTTGCATTATTTTGTAACTACCCTCTTTGTCTACATTTCTTACTTCACTTTCAGGATCAGACAACTTATTTTCTAAATTAAAATATGTTGTTAAAATTTAAAATTGTTGAAAAAAAAATTTTTTAACTTATACTTTACCTCTATTAACAACATTATCCATGTTCAAATGTACAGGACCGCAACTACCTCGCTGAAGAACTAAATTTTGCCCATCATTATTCATAAAATTAATATCACTATCACACAAAATACCTTCATCATCTATATCCATTATCTCTGGAAATACAGAGTTATTACTAAATTGTTGAGTCGAAATTTGCTCGTTATTATCAAAATGATCAGTATGATACATATCGTCACTGCTATCAACATCTTCAATATCACTCTCATTTTCAACAATGTTTTCTGGTAAGTCTTCCTCCATGTTGATATTGTGTTGCTTCCATTCTTCGACCATATTGAAATGTCATAATGGATGTTGACCAAAAACTAATTCGTATGGAGTATACTTAGTAGGCCTGGAATGACGAATGTTCATAGCATATGTAACTATGGGAAGACCGACGCTCCAATCTCTTTGCTGGTTATCCTCCATCCATGTAGAAAGTGCGTTTTTTAAAGTCTTGTTAGCATTTTCGACTAGTCCTTGCGATTGGGGGTGGCGAGGACACCCATTAATTATGTGAACTCCTTTCCATAAACTAACAAGTTCATAAATAACCTGAACTGTAAATTCACGCCCATTATCGCTTTGCAAAATACAAGGAGGTCCAAAAACAGTAAAGACTGAAAATAAGAATGCAGAAACTTCTGAAGCCTCCTTAGTGCATAATGGACATGTCCAGGAAAACTGGGAAAAGTGATCCCGAAGATGTGCAATATAATGGTACTCTTTATCCAGATATTTTTCAAAGGAAACCAGATCAATTTGAACCCGTTGTAAAAATTTCTTTGAAATGATGGTTTTCCCAATTATGGGTGCAGGAAAGTTTCTACGTGTGCAACATTGTGTACACTGTGCAACATACAACTCCACGAATGATCTAGGAACATATGCATATTGTCTGCTTACTGCCTCATAAGTTTTTTTTGAACCAGAATGCTGCTGTGAACTACCATGCATCTTACCAAGAACATTGTAAAGATTCTGAAATGGGCAAATGACGCGGTCTGTTCTTTCTTTTGCATTTTTTATTTCCATGAGCTGAATAATAGGGTTGTGAGGTGTTCCAAGATCATGTAAATAAAAATTATTTTTTGCCCAAAAACGATCCTTTGCAGTTCCATTAGACATGTCTTTGGGATTTTTTAGGATACTTATAATTAAATCATAGTCTTTCTGGGTAATTATTGCTTTCCTTTGTTGCTTGGGTTTACGACTTGACAAAAATTCAGACACCAGTTGATCAAAGGCGGCACGCGAAATAAAAGATAAATCACTGTTTGTATCCATAATATTGATTATTTGTTGAGGTTTTTAATAAAACTAAGCTACTAAAGTTTCAATTTCTTAGGATCTCATAACAGCGGGTAAAGTTTTTTTTTTTAATTACTAAGCACAATTTATTAAAAGTTTTTTTTTTTAAGTTCACTTTTTTTTTTTTTAATTACTAAGCGCAATTTATTAAATAAACGATTGTATTATTTTATGCATTGGGAATTAAATTTTAACAAACAAATTATTTATTTTACTTCCCGATCTGAAACACAATAAGCGAACACATGCTTGATCTAACAGGAGAAACCGTCCAAATATAAATATGATTTTCATTCTCTGTTATACAGATCACTCATTGTATCGACCAGTCAAACCATGGGATTCAAGGGGATTCAAAAAATATATTGTAAAGCAAAGTGAGAGCTTCATGTTTGTTTAACTATTTTCAATATTCATAAAAAAGATAAGTCAAGCGAGCCTTCCAAAAAAGTATTGTAAAATAATATAAAAAAAAATTTTATCAATTGTGTAATGATTTTGTGACGTATTAACGGTTTCTCCTGTTGCTTGATCTATTTTACGAAATAGTAAACTATAATAAATCAACGGATATTGATCATCATTATACAGATTCTTAATCCGGGTAACCCGCTTAAGAATTTCAAAACCGGCTACCCCGATTCTGAATTGGAACGGCCGGATTCCGAATCGGGACGATTCCTATCCAGGGTACAACATATATATTGCTTATTTGGTGCATTCACAAATTGAACATATTTTTAATATTAAATTAAAAAAAAAGATTCGCTTACAAGATCTTGAAGAAAAAATACTATGTTAAATAAATAATTCTGAATTTAGATCAGAATTATATCTTTTATACTATAATTTTGGGTATATAAAAGCTCTTATTAATACCAAGCTAAGCTTTTATAAAGGTGTAATGTATCAGACAGAGAATAGTTATAATATTATTGAAAAGTATTCACTACATGTTGGTGATGTTATCCCTTAAATTGTAACACAGGCAAATTTGCCTGTGTTTTTATTAAAAAGTTTAATTTTTTTAATAAAAACTT